TAAAAATAGAAATAAAAATAAAAATAAAATAATTATAAATATAAGATATATATATATATATAAATATAAAATCTTAATTTTTTTTATAGAATTTCTTGGCTAAATGACCTGATTATGCTCTGTTTGGATTAAGAATGAAAGAGGAAAAAATGCAAAAGAAAGAAATAAAAAATGAAGAAGTGGAAAATTTTCTCTTTCACTTGTTTGAATGGATAGAAATGTTAGAGGAAAGAAAGAAATTGGAAAAAAAGTTATAATAATTTGTTTTAGATATATAGTTCCTTTATTATAATAGATAAAAATAGGTATATAGTAATAGATTACACCGTTATATTTTTTTGTAGTATTTTACATTCGGTGTCAAGATGTTGGAAGAAGGACAACTACGTATAATATTGACTGTTATGCTGCGATTACTTTGTTTTTATTATAGTTAATGGTATAGCGATTTGTTGTGTTTTAACCACTTTGTTACTTGTTTCTGATTACACGTCTTTTAACAGATTTTCTTTTGCATTGCTGACTTGGATTTTGAGCCGGGTACTAGGTGCATCAGTTGGATTTTGCGTTGGTGGATGTAATAGTTTAAGAGACGTGGCAGTAAAGTTTAAAAAGGTTTTTTTTTGCCTTCATTCACTGCCTTATTTTGAAGTTACGAAATTTATAGGGCACTGGGACATGCTTGATATAGTAAAATCCAAATTCATTGGATTTTATTATGGTAATTCGTGTACATTGCATGATTAAATAATCTTCTAGTACAAATAGTACACTACTTGGTTCAGTTGATATGGTTTCTCTCTATACAGCCCATTCTGTAGATCTTAGTTCAAATTCTCTGTCTCATATTCTAGCGACTGCCATGTTTGTTTCTGTCTCTAAGGTCCCACAGCAATATATTCTGTTGATTTATGACATGTACAGGGTCCTATTGAATCTGTATCTATTGGTGAAATTAAACTCAGCTTACGCCATTCCTTGCTTCAACATGGTGTGGGTTCTAGTTCAGGGGACCCAAAGTTGCAACTAATAATATGCAACTTAGAAGTTGCTACGCGACCTTCAATCAAAAGCAGCTCTAGCTCTGAGAAGAAGAAAACTCGAAAATCCAGTGGTCGTTCTTCTGGATCTGGCAAGGGAAAGTGGAAGACCATAAGCAATATTGCACGATATTTGTCACTTTGTGTGACAAACTTGGTTTTGAAGGTATGCACAGTATCATTTTTAACTTTCTTGTTTGGCCAACACATTGATTTTAGTATTTCTAAGTTCCAATACTGGGGTGTCTCTGTCTGTTTGTATAATATGTAAACATATAGTTAAAATGATTGTTAGAGGATAGTATGTTGTGATTATTTTTGAGGAGTAAAACAAATTTTAATACGACATATATACATGTGCATTTGAATTAATTTGTATTTATTTCTTCTTGATTCTACTGGGACTGAGATCGTATTTGAAAATCTTCTTTTGGTCACTGATAATCTCTTTTGAATATTGCAGACACCTAAAGGTACTGTTGAACTTGGGAAGTTGAATGTTGATATATCTAAAGATGGTGGATCCGAGTCAAATTTGTTGGTTAGAGTACAAATATTACCCATTGTTGTTAACCTTCCCGAGGCTCAAGTTACCAGTAATCAGTTATCTGATTCTAGTAGTGGAGGACTCAATGCTTCAAGCCAAGCATCTATTGCTGCTACAGAAAAGGCTCCGGCTACTTTTATCTGTGAAAAATTCTCTGTCTCATGTGAATTAGGCCATGATAGGTACTAATCTTCCTTGTATAAATTTTTATTATAATGGTATTAATCATGCACTCCACTTGTTTGAGTGGTTGTTGGAGTAAAGGAAGTGGATCTGTAAGCAAGATGTTCACAAGCTGTATGGTGTGAAGCTTATTGTTGAAGCCAATGGAAATTTTGAAGTGAAAAGCTTCATTTATAAGTGGAGATTGCAGTTTTCGCATGGTGCATCATATCTCAATAGTGAATTAAAACTATTGGAAACAGACTGTTAGTTTGACAAATATTTCATTGTTGGTCCCAAATTTAAAAATTCCAAACCAAACTTTCTTCTGGTTTGGTTCACAATTCAGGTAGCATTAGCACTCCATTTGTTCCTAATAGTATTTTAAATAATAGAATCTGTCAAATGGAACTTGCTTTTAATTTTTATATTTGTAGCTGATCATATGTTGCTTTGTCCTACATAGAGGTCCCATTTTATAATTATACATTATACTTGGTTTGTCCCTTTGCAGTTTCTATAAATGTCCTCATATTTAAAAGAAAAAAATTACCTAGCCTTGTGTTATGCAGCGTTGCTGCAAGATTACCCGACTTGGACACTCTCATCCTTTCCCGATTTTCATTTATTATTCTTATATGGTTTCTTAGTTTGTTGTTTTTCTTCTCCATGCAGTGAAGTGGGTATAATTATAAGGAATTTGGAAATTTCCACTGGAGAAGTCACTGTGAATTTGAATGACGGGTTGCTTGTGAAAAAAAAGAGTTCATCGGAATCTTCTTCTGGCTCTGAGAAAAATAAAGTGTCAAATGTTGAATCTATGAGCACAAAAGACCCTTCCAAGAAGCAGCAAACACTTGCAGGCCATATTTCTAAGTTTCCTCAAAAGGTTTGAGAAATTAAACATGCTTTGTTTTTCTAATAATGACATATGCTTCCTGAGCCTTGGTGCAATGGTTGGGTTGTGTTGACTGGTGAATGGGTGGCTTGGTGTTCTAGTTACTGAAATAGCTTCTCGGCTTATTTGGTAATGATGTATTCCCTTCAGTCTCGAATACAACAAAAAAAAAATCATATGGGTATTGGTCTCTATTGAAAAAATCCAAGTCCCACATCGACTAAAGATTAAGCAATTAAATAGTATATAAGTGGAAAGCAACCCTCACCTTACAAGCCGGTTTTGTAGGGTTGAGTTAGGCTTAATTCACTATTCTAAGAAGATATCAGAGCTATCCTAGATTTTTAAAAATGGGTCACCCACCATTCATTGATACATGCACCATGGACATGAGGGGGTGTATTCAAGTTCCGCCAATCCTAGATCATTAAAAAAGGGCCACCTACCATTTATCCACGTACCAAGCCCAATAGTGCTGGACGTGAGGAGGTATATTGGGAAAAATCCAAGTCCCATATCGACTAGAGATTAAGCAATTAAATAGTATATAAGTGGAAAACAACCCTCACCTTACAAGCCGGTTTTGTAGGGTTGAGTTAGGCTTAATCCACTATTCTAAGAGTCTCAAATATAAGCAAAATTTAACTAATTTAACCTCATTTAATATTATTATCTCGAAAATACCTTTCACTTTTTTTTTTTTTTTTTTGAATGTTATACATGTAACTATTGTGTGTATATAGCATTATAATCAATTTATGTATATAATAGTGACTATATTGCTGTGTTCCGAAGAATGTAAAATTTATTTTTCAAGTGTTCATACAAGTGGTTACAAGTATTTATATGATTGGTGTCTAGCTGTCTGCTGAGTCAGCTGTTAGTTACAAGGTAATAATAGCATAACAAAATAACAGAAACCATACTCTTTTGTTTTGGTTCCCAACACATTCTCTGTTAGAAACAATTCTATTCGAGGCACTGTCTGGTACTAAATGTGGGCACTTCTCCTACTCCTAGCAAGGATTCAAATCTTAGTTCACCACATTGCAAAAGAATAGCTTTTTTGCTTGACCCAACTCTCTTTGGTACAGAAACTATAGTATTCATAATATGGGCAACCCTCTTCTGCTAAGCTAGATTTTGCGGTTGAGTTAGGCCTAATCCAATTATCATAATCATATTTTTATCTACATTTAGTGTTATCAATTCAGAGTGTTGCTAGGTCCTATTCTTTGATTGTCGTAAATATTTATCCATCTTAGCAAAGTGCATTATATCTTCAGCTTATCTTGCCGGTAGGTTGTGTGGCACAGAGATGCATCTTTGTGCAGCCTTTCCCCAATTTTGAGCTCCTTTCATAGCACTTCAGTAATTAGATGCCTTGTTGTAGTCTTTCAAGTCATTTTCAAATTTTTTAAACACCAGAGTTTGGCTTTGTGGCTAATGTGATTCCTTCACTTGTAAGTGTCTGAATATTTGTTTATGTTCATGGTGATTTTTGGTTTTCAACAGGCAATTTAATCTAGAATTCTATGGCCCTATTCAAAGCAAAAGTATATCAACTTTGTGGTTCTTAATGGGACAAATAGTTTCTGTTATATTTTCGGATTATATTTAACCAAAGATAAAAACTGTTCAAGGTTTTTTCAAATAGTTTTACTGTCGGCCATGTAATTATGCTTCTTATTGTAGGTCAGCCTCAATCTGCCAAAGCTGAATGTGAGTTTTGTGCATCGTGAACATAGTCTCTCTGTTGAAAATAACATCAAGGGCATCCAATTCAAAAGCATCAAATCACGACCCGCCAAAGATGTTGGGGAGAGTACACGTCTTCATTTTCAATTTGAATTTAGTGAAATTCATGTATGGAGTGTGTCTATTGATTTGTTGAAGCTTGTGGTATGATTTTCACTTTTTTCCCACTTCCCTTCTTGCTGACAACTTTTCTACTGTTCTATTGATATTAAAGCTTCTTAGAGAAGCTGGTTCTTCCATCCTGGAGATATTGAGGCTGAACCTGGGAGCATTTGTGTACATCCCTGTACAGGTAAGTAATTTTGCCATCCATATAACAAACCTTTATATCTCCGTATAGTTGGTATTTTTTAGTGTTTGCTCCACCTGTCAAAGTTTTCGTAATATTAGGGGCAATAAAAATGTATATTACACAGTTTATATAGAGAATCTATCACCTTTAAATTTAATCAATGAAGCACCAATAGTCCAATACTTGCATTTGTTTTACATATCCAATACGGATAGTTTTGTATCGTGTTAAAGTTTGTTTAAGAGTGTTTTATGTAGTGGTGGCGACAGGGCAGGGTTGGTTGGTAATAACTGCAATAATAATGGTGGTAACAGTTTCAATGATAGGATTGGCAGTGACAGTGTCAATAGTGGTAGTGGTAGCCATGATAGTGATGATAATGACAGTGTCAATGATAGTGATGTTGGTAGTAGGACCGAGAATGTTAGTGGTGGCGAATGTAGCTGGAGTGTGTTTTTAAAACTAAAAACTGAATTCATAAATCTTTTATTTCTTCATTTTGAACATAAAGGTAGAAGTTTTTTTGAAATTTAGTTAAAAGCCATTTTAGCCAAATACATTTTGCTTTAAAATTGTATTTGAAAACCAAAAACTAAAAGCCCACAACCACCTCCAAATGCATATTTTAATAATGTCCACAAGGTTTTCTTTTAATTTGGATTTGCAGAATTGAAATTATATATTTATTAGCTTTTATCAATTTTTATGCATATCCAGATATCTTGATACGTGATCCGTACATATTGTATCATATATATTTTAAGGATAATATAATCACATTGCTGCATCGGATACATGCATATTGAATCTGTGCATCATAGCCTTTATTATTTGACCAGGTGGTAATTTTTGCGGTCCAACACATTGATTTGTGGTCCACTATTATGGATAACACCATTCACTTACTTCACCTCATACTTAAGCTTTTAGAAGGGTTATTCCTTGATATGGTATTAGAGTCTTCTTGATAGTGGTGAAGAATTTGATCTTTGCCATCTCATTTCTTACCAGAATTGACTTTTAGCATAAAATAGAGTGCTTGCTCGTTGTCCGTGTTTCAAGCCTACAGAACTCCTAGTGATTTATTTTGGATGTAAAACAATTTTAAGCATTCACCTAATATCTTAAGCTTTTAGGAGAGTTATTCTTCGATAGCCACAATATTTTACAATAGCATTTCTGCAGACGTTTATATCTAAATGACAATGTTCTCATAGTATGAAACTATGAATGAAGGATGCTTGAAATGGACTATTAAATTGAGTTATAATTATTTTTTCTTTTATTTTCTGTGCAAACTTACTTTTCTTTTTGGGTCTCTTCCTCTAGTCAGTTATGCGTGTTAGAGCTGAAACTGAAATCAAGCTTGGAGGTTTACAATGCAACATCATAATGAGCAGATTAAAGCCTTGGTTGGTCCTACATTCATCTAATAAGAAGAAGAAAATGGTTCTTCGGGAAGAAGCTCCTGTTGTAAAACCAAAATCAACTGATAGTAAGAGTAAGACCATCATCGTGTGGACATGTAATTTTTCAGCTCCTGAGATGACAATAATGCTTTCTAATATGGCTGGTTCTCCACTGTATCATGTAAGTACTGGCAAATATATATGCTTATTGTTATTTATGAACTTGGAGGGAGAAGAATTTATGTGTGACTTACGTGTGGCAGTGGATGCCCTTACGAGTACTGTTTTATATAATATTATTGAGTCGTGTTAAAAAGTTGGAGCATTTATCATGCATATCATGCAAATTGTTTGCAGTAGATGCTAAAATTCACGCATTCTATAATATGCTGCTGGGTTTATAACCTTGCTGCCTGTAACACCTTTAGAGAAAAACAATGCAAGGACCGAAGTCTGTTGGTCTAATAATGAGAGAGTCTAGTTGTGTATTTTATGGAGCTTTAAGGGTGCATTTGGTTTGTTTTTGGCTTCATTTTTGTTTCATGCATTTTTATAAATAATTACGAAAATGTCACCTAATTTTCACGTAATTTCTCCTTTGCAAATTACTATGTAAAACTTCAATTTTAAATTGAAAATAACACAAAAAAGTACTTGAAGAAAGTTTTGTCCAAGGAGAATGTACACTTTCTTGAAACAGTAAATGAAGTGAAAATAAGGCAACATTTTTTTAATTATTAATGAAATCATGTCAGTGAAAGTAACTAACTAAAAGCATCCAAAATTTATATGTTAATCAGCTTGCATTAATGATACACGTATACTCATTATAAACCTCTAAAAGAGAGAAACATTTGTAACAGCTACTTGAATATTAGATTGGAAATTCATAGGATCATTGTCCATTATTGGTTCTGACTTCTGAGTCTTTTGTTGAAATGGAACTAAATTAATCATTTCCATCAACTGAAAGATATGGATGGATTGTTTGGTATCTTATTCCCTTTGTTTAAGTAATTATTATCTCCAATTTTTGACCATTTTAAGTTCTCTATCGGATGAAGATATCTTGTATGTTAGTTCAAATGCTTGAGTAAAGTCACTTACCACAAAGCATCGGTCTATTGCTTTCCAAATCAAGGGTTGCTTACAATCAACACATCTAGTCGCAAACAACACTTCGAATATGGGGACTACAGTGCATACTGAACTGGGTGAATTAAACCTCAACTTGGCTAATGAAAATCAAGAATTCTTGAAAGAAAGTATTTTTGGCGCTGAATCAAAATTTGGCTCCATTTTGCACATTACAAAGGTAAAATTGGATTGGGGAAAAAAGGACGTGAAATCCTCTCAAGAAGATGGTCCTAAGAGTGTGCTAAGTTTATCAGTTGATGTGACTGGTTTGGGAGTTTATCTAACTTTCAGGCGTATAGAATCATTCATATCAACTGCAATATCCTTTCAAGTTCTGTTGAAAAGCCTTTCTGGTTCAAAGAAGAAAACAACGCAGACCCGGGGGCGTTCATCATCATCAAAAAATTCAGGGAAGGGAGCTCAAATGGTGAAGTTCAATCTGGAAAAGTGTTCAGTGTATGTATTGGGGGAGACTGGATTAGAAAATACAGTTGTTCCTGATCCGAAGCGAGTTAATTATGGTTCACAGGGTGGTAGAGTTATAATAAATGTGTCAGCAGATGGTACCCCACGCAGTGCGAGCATAATGTCCTCTGTTTCCAATGACTACCAGAAGCTAAAGTACTGTATTTCTCTTGAAATTTTTCATTTTAAGGTGGGTTTGAACAAGGAGAAAAGATCCACACAGATAGAGCTTCAAAGGGCCAGATCTATCTATCAGGAATATTTGGAGGAAAATAAGCCAGTACCAAAGGTGGCATTATTAAACATGCAAAATCTCAAACTTGTTCAACGCTCAGGTAGCCTTAAAAATGCATCCTGTTCTCTTTTCAGTGCTACTGACATTACCATGAGGTGGGAGCCTGATGTACATCTATCACTAATTGAACTGGTTCTCCAGCTGAAATTGGTTGTACACAATACAAAGCTGCAAGAACGTGGTAATGAACATGTTGAAGACATGTCTCATGTAGGAGATTCTAATAAGAAAAATGAAGCTACTGTGGAATCAGTGCCTCTTGAAAAGAAGAAAGAATCTGTTTTTGCTGTCGATGTAGAAATGTTAAATATATCTGCTGGACTAGGAGATGGAGTTGAGGCTATGGTTCAGGTGCAGTCAATTTTTTCTGAGAATGCTCGTATAGGAGTGCTCCTTGAAGGGCTCATGTTTAATTTTAATGGGGCCAGAATCATCAGGAGTAGTCGAATGCAGGTTTCACGGATTCCTAGTAAATCTGCTAGTGCATCTGATTCAAAAACCACAGTATGGGATTGGGTAATTCAAGGTCTGGATGTTCACATTTGTATGCCTTACAGATTGCAATTGCGTGCTATTGATGATGCTCTAGAGGATATGTTGCGTGCTTTGAAGCTTATTGTTACTGCCAAGACAAATATAATTTTTCCTGTGAAGAAAGACAGTTCTAAAGCTAAAAAGCCTAGTTCAGTAAAATTTGGATGTGTAAGGTTTTTCATACGCAAGTTAACTGCTGATATTGAAGAGGAACCACTCCAGGGATGGCTTGATGAACATTATCATCTGTTGAAGAAGGAAGTTGGTGAATTAGCTGTGAGGTTAAACTTTTTTGATGAATTTATATCCAAGGTCAAGCAAGATCCAAAATCTACTGATGACACCAATAATTCTTCTCAAGAAAAAACGGTTTATTTTAATGATGTTGAGGTTGATGTAAATAACTCTTCAGTTATTGAATCAGTGAGAGAAGAAATTTATAAACAATCATTCCGATCATATTATCAGGCATGCCAAAACATAGTGTTATCTGAAGGGTCAGGTGCTAGTAGAGATGATGAGTTTCAAGCTGGTTTCAAACCTAGTGCTTCAAGGATTTCTCTTCTTACACTGTCAGCATCAGACTTAGATGTAACCTTGACAAAAATTGATGGTGGAGATGATGGGATGATTGAAGTTTTGAGGAAGCTTGACCCTGTTTGTCTTGAATGTGACATACCATTTTCCAGACTGTATGGGGCAAACATTCTCTTAAATACAGGTTCTCTTGTGGCCCAGATTCGTGATTACACATATCCTCTTTTTGCTGGAAGTTCTGGTAAATGTGAAGGTCGTCTTGTAATGGCCCAGCAGGTAATACTAAGAAATCTAATTTCTTTTGATAAGCAAATGAGTTTTATTTTATTAATGAAGGAAGGGCTAATCTCAGCATAAGACATCCCTATCAGCTAAAAGGTTTTATACATGTATACAAAAAGAACAAGAGCCCGATACATAAAACCAAACCCAGTAAAGTGACTAAATTAAAAGTCCCCCAAATTTGAAACCAGCAACATACACCTTCTGAGCACTCCCAGCTGCAAAATGAGTTGCTCCTCAAACCTTCAAGGCTCCTTTTTGTGTAGCTACAAGCAGAGAAGCACCAATCTTCACAAACAGAAAGTAGTGCACTAGTGGCCTAGTAGAATTTTCACTGCACTCTTCAAAATTATTCAGAATAACGTGAAAGGCCGCTTGATACCTTTTGCCTCCATCCATCTCCAGAATTAAAATGAAACCCAAATGATTAACATATTGTGGTCATCCTTTGGTTATGAAGAACCAGTTAAAATATAGAATTACGATCATTAATGGATCCAATAAATAATTAACTGTCCAAATATCCATATGAATTTATGTTTCCTGTGACTTTTAAGAAAAAGCTGCATGTTACTTCTTAAACTGAACTTGATATGTGTTTCTTTTATGCTTTGTGGGAATTAACTAAATGATGATTAAGCTGATAATATTTCTTGGTCGTTATTCTTTTATTTATTTCAAGTAGGCAACTAGCTTTCAACCTCAAATGCTTCAAGAAGTCTATGTTGGGGAATGGAGAAAGGTAAGCATGCTTCGATCAGCTACTGGTACTACTCCACCAATGAAGACATACACAGATTTGTCATTACATTTTCAGAAAGGGGAAGTGTCATTTGGGGTGGGCTATGAACCAGTTTTTGCTGATATTAGTTATGCTTTCACTGTGGTGCTACGGAGGGCTAATCTAAGTGTTAAGAAGCCTGGTCCACTTATTGTTCCACCAAAAAAGGAGAAGAGTTTGCCATGGTGGGATGACATGAGAAATTACATTCATGGAAGAATTTCCTTATTATTTTCTGAAACAAAATGGCATATTTCGGCAAGTACAGATCCTTATGAAAAGCTTGATGAACTTGGAATTCTTACTAGCTCTATGGAAATTCACCAGTCAGATGGTCGTGTTTTTCTTTCTGCAGAATATTTCAAGATTTTATTGACCAGTTTGGAGAGTATGGCAAACAAACGTGGTTCCAAAATTCCACCCTGTGTTTCTGGGGTATTTTTTGATGTCCCAGTATTTACACTTGAAGTTAATATGGACTGGGATTGTGACTCTGGCCAACCATTGAATCATTATTTATTTGCACTTCCGATTGAAGGGAAACCTCGTGATTTTGTATTTGATCCCTTCAGATCCACTGCTCTTTCCCTTCGATGGAACCTATCTTTTAGATCATTTCCTCCTTCGTCAGGAAAACAATGTTCATCCTCTGTTGAAAGAGATCGTACAGAAGGAGAAGCTACTGTATGTCAACCTCCTCGCACTTTTCAGAATGCTTCACCTGCTTCCCCAACAATAACTCTTGGTGCTCATGATCTAGCATGGATTAAAAGATTCTGCAACTTGAACTACCTTCCCCCACATAAACTGCGCATGTTCTCCCGTTGGCCTCGTTACGGTGTTCCAAGAATTGTCAGATCAGGCAATCTTGCACTAGATAAAGTAATTACTGAGTTTATGCTCCGTATAGATTCCACACCAATTTGTATAAAGAACATGCCATTAGATGATGATGATCCAGCCAAAGGACTGACCTTCACGATGACAAAGTTGAAGTTTGAATTGTGTTTTGGTAGGGGCCAGAAAAAGTTTACTTTCGAAAGCCAACGTGACCTTCTTGATCTTGTTTACCAAGGTATTGACCTTCATATGCCCAAAGTTTTCCTAAGTAAAGAAGAAGAAGACTGCTGTAGTGTTGCTAAATTAATTAGCATGGCAACAAAAAGCTCAAAATCTGCATCCAAGGATAAAATTCCCTCTGAAAAAGGTTATATGACACATAAAAGTCATGATGATGGATTTCTTTTATCCGGTGATTACTTCACTATAAGAAAACAGTCTCCAAAGGCTGATGCTGCCACTTTGGTAGCCTGGCGTGAAGCAGGAAAAACAAATGCTGAGACTGACAAGACCTATGTACGGCCTGAGCATGAAAATCGTAGCAAATCTGGTGAGCATGCACAATCAGACCATAGTGACGATGATGGGTATAATGTGGTAATTGCGGATAGTTGTCAGCGTGTGTTTGTCTATGGTCTCAAGCTTCTGTGGAATATTGAAAATAGAAATGCTATTTGTTTCTGGGTTGCTGGTCTTTCCAAAGCCATCCAAGCTGCCAAGCCTTCTCCTTCTCGACAGTATGCACAGAGAAAATTACATGAGGATAAAAAAAAGCTTGATGTAACTGAAACTAATCAAGAGGAAGGAGCTGAGACCAATCAAGATGATAGAGCTGAAACCCATCAAGATGATGGAGCTGAAAACCATCAAGATGATGGAGCTAAAACCCATCAAGATGATGGAACAAAAACCAATCAAGATGAAGGAGTTGAGACCAATCGAGATGAAGGAGCTGAGACCAATCAACATGAAGGAGGTGAGACCCATCAAGATGAAGGAGCTGAAACCCATCAAGATGAAGGAGCCGAGACCCGTCAAGATGAAGTTTCTCAGTGCCTTAACAACAATAGCATCTCAGATTCTCCATCTGCTCAAGCTGCCAAGAATACTGGATCACTTTCATCCCCACCACCTTCCGATACCCATCAAGATGAAGTTTCTGTGTGCCTTAACAACGATAGCATCTCAGATTCTCCCTCTTCTCAGGCTGCCAAGAATCCTGGATCACTTTCATCCCCACCACCTTCGGATAATGTGGACAACTTGCCATCTAGTATGTGTCATATGCTTCACGAAATTTACATGCACGTTGTAAAATGAAACACGCAAAGTAAATACATCACTAAATATGTCTTGTGTCACAACAAATATTTTCATTGCTTGTTAGATCCTTGATGTATTTTTGTTAGGTGCCATTTTCTCTTGAGTATTGTTACTGATAGGTTTGTTTACCCTCTTTTATTTCCCTTTTTTGTTTATTGCTAGCTAAAAATGAGAAGGCTGATGACCCAGAGGAGGGGACTCGACACTTTATGGTTAATATTATTGAACCACAGTTTAATCTTCACTCAGAGGATGCAAATGTAAGTTTTAAAAATACTTTTTCATTTAAATAAAGCTAACGGGCATATACACGAAGCATTTTAATTATTGTGTATACCTTTTAGATTGTAATTTGAACTTGGATTAAAACAATTTTCTTCTGCTCAATTTTTTTTAACAGATATTATTCTGAGGAGCAGCTGACTGCTTTGGTTTTCTGTTTCCTGTTAGTTTATGTTAGGATAAGTAGTTATGCATCTTTGAAGAGCATGTATGATACATATATATTTTGTTAGGACCCCCACATGTCAAAATGAACAAGACCAAAGGATTAACACTTCTATTATTATTGGGAGAAAAAGTAGCACAATGGTGTTTAGCTGCTTGACACAGCACAATGAAATGACGCAATAGACTCTTTTGTAAACAAATGAGGAAATAAGGTCCTAAATAAGCTAAGCTGTGGATGTCCAAGTTGCCTATGATGATTCCAAACTTGGGAAATTGCCCATGTCTTTGAGGTTGCCTGTTGACTAGAAGACATGCTCTGTCTGATATCATAATTGGGCTCCTTGTGTTGCAAGAAGTATAACTGACTGCTCTTTAGCATTAAAAACCGTCCTCCTTGTGTCAAGGTCCTGAAAGATACAAGGAAAAATTTAAAAAGGTTACTGAACAATTCAAATCCTTTGTAAGTTTATGTATAGAAATGATATTGTTAGACAATTTTGGAACATGAAGGACATCATCTAATGAGAGAGATGACTGTAGTTGGATGCTACCAGTTCCAACAATAGGGGCATTGTCTCCATTGGCCACTGTAATGAGTTGCCTGCCTTGAGTATGATGTAAAGCGGGTGGAAAAAAGGGTCATATTATTTGTTTCCAAATTAGAGATGTTGAAGGTACATGAACTAGGGGTCTTACTCATAGAGCCAATAAGCGTTCGAAGCTGATTGAGCTCTTCTTTAATAAGACCTTCAATGTCCTGGTCATGTTGGAAGGATGAGGAGTCTTCTGTTTTGTCTGCCCGGTCAAAAGTCGTTTGATTTGCTCACTTTAGTGTAGAGCACTTGTTTCCACCCACACGCTCATGAGTTTTCTCGCTTCCATGAAGCTTCTAGCAAGTATCTTTGACATGACCAGACCGCTTGTAGTATACACAATATTCCCCACGATCGATTGCCCTTTGGTGGGGGATTTCCACTAGCAGTTGAACCTTTGTTGGAGCCCTTTCCTATTGTCATAGCAGAGCATAACACCACGTACAATATGAAAGACTTCCGATAATGAGTAAAATTTCTCCTTGTCTAGAATTCGTACACATATGGGATTGTATTTGGAGTTAAAGCCATGGGGAAACATAAAAAGTTTTCCCATTTCAACAACCTCGGAGTGTGCAATAGAATCATCTTTACATGTCTAAAAGCTTTGGTAATGATCCAGTTCAATCCATTAGCCATTCAGGGTTCCAATATATTTAGTTATAGAAAGGGTTCCCTGCCTTGCGGTAAAAATTTTGCTCTCCGTGTCATGCAATATCTATGCCTACAAAAATATCTCTCCTAATATTTTTCTCTAATTACAACAACAAACAACTCATTTGGAATTTGAGCTTAAGGTCTAACTCAATCCTACAAAGTCGGCTTGTAAAATGAGAACTGTCCAAGCCTTAAACTGGACCAGTTATGTATTAGGTTAGTAAATTAATGGTCGAACCATGGAGTCAATAGTTGAATCACATAAATCGGTTTAGATAGTATAATTTTTTTTAAAACTAGATATATATTATTTATGTTGCATATTAACAAACTACATTTGTTGGTGTAGTGGTAGTTAGTAAGTTGCAAGCTTTCAAAACATTAGGCTCTTGAGTTCGATTCCCATGTACTGTTAATTTGCACGATAGCAAAACTCCTTGGGAGTGGAAGAAACACATGGGAGGATCGGTCCAACCAGAACTGGGTTTCACCGGTTTAAGCTGATTTCTGGTCAGTTAGATGACTTCAACACTAGGTCCAGTTCCTAACCTGAACCACTTGCACTTCCGGTTCCCGGTCAGACCAGTCGGTTACTGGTCCAAATCGAGTTTGATAACACTACTTATAAGCACTAATTATGCCGTATCTTTAGTTGATGTCTCCAATTCGGGTTTGATAATATTGCTTATAAGAACTACTTATGCTGTATTTTTAGTTGATGTGCGATTTCAACCGCCTTAGATCCGACATCCCAATAGTTGAACTCTACAATGCTTTAGTGAACATTTCTGGTTAGCCCCTTCATAGGTAGCCCTTTTCCCAAACACTAAAAACCAATTCTTTTAGGCCACAATTAAGGTGGGCTAGGGGTGACTGCAATTACAGGTGGCTTCCCAACAAACTTTAATAGGCTGAAAATTAGGCGGGTTAGGGGTGACCATAATTAGGCAGCTTTCCAGTAATTAAAATATTTCTTGTTAGGCAACCTTGTATTTTTATTTCCAATATCTTTTTTCATGTGTTATTTTTCCTTTGTTTATAAATTTGCAAAAGAAAGTGCCAAGATTATGTGTGTATTCATGCTTTTATAGGGTAGGTTTTTGCTTGCTGCTGTAAGTGGCCGCATTTTAGCCCAGTCATTTCACTCAGTCCTTCATGTTGGTTACGAGTTTATAGAGCATGCAATTAGTACTACAGATGAACGTAGTAGTGAATACCAGCCTGAAATTGCATGGAAAAGAATGGAGTTGTCTGTTATGTTGGAGCATGTGCAAGCCCATGTTGCACCAACAGATGTTGATCTAGGGGCTGGAGTACAGTGGCTACCGAAAATTCTCAGGGGCTCTCCAAAAGTAATGCGTACAGGTGCCCTTCTTGAGAGAGTTTTTATGCCTTGTAATATGTACTTTCAGTTCACAAGGCACAAAGGAGGAACTCCAGAACTGAAGGTAATTTTTTTTTCTTTTCTATCATAGTAATATCCTAGCCTGTGAATGTGATCAATTTATTAGGAAATCCAAAGCTCCTTGTAAGATTAAGTCTTTTATCTGAACTGTTGTACTGAATGATTTGCTGCATATTTGGATACTAGAAACATCCATCCATCTCCATAGTATTTGTGCTATGTACGTGGAAAAATTTGAATCTATCATACATATATTTTACATTGTTTTATTGCTAATTTCTTGCATCGTGTTTTGGGGAATATTGGTTTTGTGCTAAATATTTCTATACCTTTTTGACAAAAGGGTTTGAGGGAAGAAAAGAGGTCAGAAGTTTGCTGTATTCACTATTTTGTGGCACATATGATTGGAGAAAAATGCTAGGTTTTTTCTTAGATATTTTTATTTCTTTAGATGTTTTACGGAGAAGAATAAGGTTTTTGGCTTCTCTTTGGTGCTTGGCTCATGGTATTGCCATTTCAGATTTATGTAGTGTTTGGATTACCATTGTGCACCTTTGTTCTTTAGTATTGTTTTGCTGGTTCTATTATCTTAGATTTAATTTGGATGACATTTTATTCTCCTATCTATGAATATCTCCTTTCTTAATGAGATTACCCTTTCTATAAATAAAAAAATGATCCTAACTCGTGATCATCTCTGTATCCAAATTTTCCTTTTCTTAGTAAGCACATATATTCCCTAACATGCATATTTTTGTGGAGTGTTTTTCACCAGTTTGTGGTATTTTGTCATGGCTATGGTGGTCAATAATCTGTGTCAAATACATACTTTAATACTGCAGGTGAAACCCTTGAAGGAGCTCACATTCAATTCTCATAATATAACGGCAACAATGACATCTCGCCAGTTTCAGGTCATGCTGGATGTGTTGTGCAATCTTCTCCTTGCACGGGTTCCCAAGTATGGATAACTTGCTTTATACTCATTATAAATCTACTTTTATTTGTTTACCTACCTCAGATATTATCATATGTTTACACCATTTAGTACCCTATCAAATTTAACAGTGTCAGGTAAATTTGGTTATTCCATCTAAAATGACTACATTAGTATTTAGTAGGATCACTATAATTTCTTCTCCGGGGTTCAGGAGTTAGATTTATTAGCTGCTATATATGGATAGATCAATCTGATTTTTTGTTGGTCTTGTTATTTGGCATGGTCTCAAGTCACATATTCAACATTACTTTTATATATTTTCATCTTCTGAGTTACTTATTTACAGAGGATACTACTAACCTGATACAGTGTTTGATGTTCATCGATGCTGCAATAGTTTTCTATTTAAAACTATTGTTTATTTACTCTGAAATTATTTATCAGGCAGATTTTTTTTTTCATGGCTTTGGTTTTAATTTAGATAATCCAGGTAGTTGAATTATATGATTCTTACCTTAATGCAGTCTCTTTTTTCTCTTCCAAGATGTTCTGTTCTATATGAAGAATCCTTTAAATTAACTAAGTATATCATACACAACTTAGGCCTCAAAAAAGTAGCCTGTCGCTTTCTCTTGAAGATGATGAAGTGGTCGAAGAAGAAGCAGATGAGGTGGTACCTGATGGTGTTGAAGAGGTGGAACTTGAAAAAATCAACCTTGAAAAGAAAGAGAGGGAACAAAACTTGCTTCTTGATGATATAAGAAAACTGTCTCTTTGGCATGACCTTTCCACAGATCCACATCCAGAAAAGGAATCAGACTTGTGGATGATAGATGGTGGAATAGCCATGCTGGTAAGAAAGGAATCTTGTTAAAAAAATTTGAATGTATGTAAATGGATGGTTCTAGTCCAATTATAGATGCTTGTTCTTTGACTTATAAGTGTTTCTGTCTGCCAAAAACAGATAAGGCTAATACTTTGCGTGGTGATATTTTTTTTATTGTGGTGCTTAGAATATTTATATCCATTAGCAGAAGCTGATAAGCTTATTAGTTGTAATAGTAAATTAATGATAATAGGAAAGTCTTCCTTCAGGCGGAAAGTAGCATGTAGGATTGAGCCCATTCAACGTAGTTTCTTCCATTCAGATTTTGGATTATAAGTTGTAACCAAAACTCAAGGACAGAACATCAACTGCATGAATCAAAGGATAAATAAACACAGAACAACACAAGTAGAAATAGCAAAAGGCATATAAACTTAACATGGTTTGATACCTCTTGCCTATATCATTATATCCGCAAGAAAATCTCAACAAATATTCATTGTCTCAAAATCCTAAACTTAAGAAACCCTCTCCCTAATTCAGCCCCCCTCTCACTTGGGTGGTGACCCTTTCTTTAGGTCCAGTGATTATTTCATCTCAAGAACTTATATTTATAGTGTGGTAAATAATTTCTAAAGACTTGAACCACTTAATTGCCTTTCACAATTCCTAGAGCCATCAATAACTTTTATTTATAGTCACAACCTATCACTTCCCAACTAATTACTTTTTTAATTCACTTACTTTAATTAATATTTGAAAATTTGGATTGATTTTCCCTACATGATGATGCAACATTGACGTCTCTAGTATTTGCAAAAGTCATAGTTGACGAACAGTATTAGAGCCAAAACTTTGATACCATGTAATTTTAAGAGAAGAAAATGATATTCCTTATGATTTATCAAAATTACATGAGTTATACAGGCAGAGTTGGCTAGGAGAGATTCTAACTACCCTGATTAAAAAATACGTATAGGGATAAGATAGGGAGAAAATAAAGGAAAATCATGTGATGTGTCAGATCAGAATAATCTGATCTTGATCTTAACTACTTAAATCTTTTAAAATCCTTTTTTAAAATTTAAAATCTGTTAGAATAGAATAAACATTTGTATTATTATGGTTAGCTTTATTTGAGTAGGCACAGGCTCCTTCGAGGAGACCTGTTGTATGTATCTTTCTTTTCTGTTATAATTTCTGTTAGGATTCAGTTACATCTGAACTGAATCCAGATGCCTATAGGTTCTTTGTATTCTATCATTATAATATAAACATACAAATTTATCTCAATCTCTCTCTCTCTCTGAGTTAGAATTCTAATAAAAGTACATACAAGTCGTATTCTTATTGTTTCAAATTTTGTATTTAGAATTTAGCAATTGATATTTTATAAGTTACAACACATAACATATCTCACTATATATACCTCTTACATACCACATATTTACCATAGTAATATACCGTGATCCATACCCAAACTGGAGAACCAAATATGTTAATCATGCATAACTTTTTACAAATAAAAATATTTGGTGAAGACGTCATTAGGTTGTTGTCCAATCCACCTGTCCCTGAATCTTTTCTCATACAAAATGGATGTGGACCAATCAACAACACTTTGCTACTTATTTCTGCTACAGACAAGGTTGCTCTGGTAAGACCACAGTAGCCAAAATGGATCTTCTATCAACAAGGGATGCAGAACAACTTTGAAGAAGCTCTCCACTATATTACGTCCATGATCCCTGGCAAGGATCAGTGATATGACCAATAAAGTGGGGCCTCGCCTCTTGAACTAGTTTTTGAGGTTGACTTAGGTCCAAATCCAAATTTTAAGAATCTCCATACAGACACCAAAGCCTAGAGCTCTCACTAGATACCTCGTTATATGAATAAAATCCACCCACCAATGGGTGGTCTGTGGAGATGACATAAAATGACTAACCACACTGACAAAAGAATGCAAAAGCTAGACTAGTGATTGTGAGATAGTTAAAGCTTACCAATTTTCATGTCCATCATCTGCCAAATGATCAAAACTTGTTTTGAGATGTGTGGAGCATTTGATGTTATTAGCTGATCTTAGTACATGACAAATTTGCATGTTAATCAATGTTGTCCGATATTGGCAGGTCCAAGAACTTAAGAGAGAACTTGTAAATGCACGAAAATCTTGGAAGGAAGCATATGCATCGTTAAGAGTAGTTATGCAAAAAGCTGCACAACAGCGGTTAATGGAGAAGGAGAAGAACAAAAGTCCTTCTTATGCTATGCGCATATCCATGCAAATTAACAAAGTTGTTTGGAGCATGCTCCTGGATGGTAAATCCATTGCTGAAGTTGAGATCAATGACATGGTGAGAATTATTTTGAAAACTTCAATCCTCCGAGTCTAACTTCACATGTATTAGATAGGTTCTAAAAATTTCATACTTTAAGGCTCAAATTTGCTCAATTTGACTTTATATAGAGTGCTATTCCTACCTCGGAAAGTATTGAATCTTCAAATTTCTTTTCCCTGCTTGTTCGGGGACAATGGAAAAAATTACAGCGATTTTTTCTAGTTTAGTTGTTCTTTCTTGTATTGTTCCTACAAACGTGAGCATATAGTTAATTTCTAATCCCTTGTTTTTTACCTTCTTAGATTATATTTTCTCTTTCAACTTGCAAGAATATACTAATTCAGTTTCTTTCTGCAATCACTTAGATCTATGACTTCGACCGGGATTATAAGGATGTGGGCATTTCTCTGTTTACTACAAAATATGTTGTTTTCAAAAACTGCCTGCCTAATGCCAAATCTGATACGATTCTGTCAGCATGGAATCCCCCACCCGATTGGGGAAAGTATGTATTTTTTCAGGCCATCTTCTTCAATTACTGGTGCTTTCATGTTGAATTTTCTGATATTTGATGCTTTGCTGTTCCTGGTATTGTCTTAACTGCTAGTTAAGTTCTTATTAGTGTTTAAGTTCAAGTTCAACTGCATCATTCACCCCTTAGGTTTCCATGCTACTCCCTCTCTTTAAACTTCAACTGAAAAGGCATAATACAGAAAGTACCTGGAGAAGTATAACTACTCAACTAGAATAAACTATTAATCAAGTCCTCAAAATATTACCCTCTCCTAAATAGTTCCTGAATTGATAAAACTATTTTAAGTAATATCTAGGGTGAGAAATGTTAGCCATTCTTTCTCTAACGCTTTCTCTACTAATTTGTCTTATTTAATGAGTCTCTCCTGATTTAGTGGTAGGACCTACCAAAATTTGTGATCTTCAATAAATTTCAATCAATAATAGAAAATGTTAAAAAGAGGGTGTTGCTAGATTTCTCTCTCTAAAGTAATGAATTTTCATTAGATTAGTTCCTAAGTTGATGTATTTCAGTAAAGTTTAGGGACTAATTTGAATGCTTCGTGATTTTTAATACTTCTAGCGCTACTTAAGTAGTTTGTCTTACTTTAAGGATCATTAAGAAGAGAGAATGATACTTTAAGATCAAATTGGTGGTTTACTGCCTGTACTGTTGAAAATATTGGTGTAGATTGCATGGGAGGAGAAAAAGGAGGCACTTAATAATTTATTTTATTATAAGATTGATGTAATATCTTTTTTACTGCAATAAAGGTTAGTGTCTTTTTCTGTTTTCCTTATCTTCTGGGTATCTTTTTTGCATGTTTGCTTCTTTTTTCCCCAGAAAAGTGATGCTTAAAGTTGAGGCAAAACAGGGAGCTCCAAAGGATGGAAGTTCTCCCTTTGAACTTTTCCAGGTAAGTAATTGCTTATTGTTATTTTGCTTCTTAAAATTGGTAAAGTTCAGTACAGAATAATAAAATCCATCTCTTATTCTAATTTTGGGTTTTCATATTTTTATGTCTGATGCTTAAAATTGAGACCAAGTTTAATATTGTTAGTTTTGTCAAGTAGACCCTGCCCAAGATTAGATATATATATATATATATATATATATATATATATATGAGGAGGATCCACTTACTCCAAGAATAAATCTTGGTAAACTTACTTCACTCAATAACTCATTCTACATCAAATTTCAACGATTAAACCATTAAATTAAAAGTTTTTAATATATGGATAAAATTTACAAATTAAACAGATAATCATAAAAATATTTTATGCATTAATTTGAATTTATATAACGAAGTATGATATGATTTTCAAATTTTTAAAAAATTTGTAGGCTTGATCTATAATACATTAAGAATTTTTAATTTAACATTTGGAGCGATGAAATTGATGTAGAACATAAGTTATTAAGTGAAGTCTGCCAAAACTTACTTTTGGAGTAACTAGATCCTCTCTCTCTCTCTCTCTCTCTCTATATATATATATATATATATATATATAATGTACCTGATTACAAATGTACAATGTGCCTTTACATATTGGAGAGATGGCAGAATATTAGGGAGCAATAATTACATAATTGAATCTGTTAAAATTCACGAGTTTCTAAGAAATAGAGAGAAAATAAAATGAGACGGAACTTTTTTTTCTAATTTCAGAATCTTATTATTATACAGTAATACAACTTAACTATATAGAGTTATTGGACGTAGCTATAGCTAGATTACAGTGGCACCTGTTTTGACAGCTGGACTAACTAACAGCTCACAAACTCAGATATTCCATTGTATGGAGAACCGGTAATCTGTTTGAGTAGAAAATGAGTGCAGTATATAATATTATTTGAGATATTTGCTGGGAAAGCCAATATCTGTACCTTTTGTTTCCTAACATGAACATACTTTATAGGTAGACATTTATCCCCTTAAGATCCATTTGACAGAAACGATGTACAGAATGATGTGGGGGTATTTCTTTCCGGATGAAAAAAAGGATTCACAAAGCCGACAGGTTAATTAAGAATTTCAATTTTCTCATCGACTTGTTTCCACAACAATGATAAAATTCATAGATGTTGTGTTTTAAAGTTAAAATCATGAGTGCTTATGCAGGAGGTTTGGAAGGTTTCAACCACAGCTGTTGCAAGGCGTGGAAAAAAAGGTTCCCAAGAAGGTTCTGCTTCAAGCGCAACGAAAGAAACTGAGGCCCCAGCCAGATCTGGCTTCTCTGCAATGCTATTTCCCACAGCCAGTCCGTCTTCTGCCCAAGCTGATTCAGCCAAAGTGAGTCTATTGTCTATTACATGGTTCTCAAGTAATAATATTAAGTGAAGTGCTAGCAACAAATAGATTGTGCTCATGTTTTTTATTTCAGCCAGTAATGGAGAAAGTATCAGTGTTAACAAATCTGTTACTTACATTTCTCTAAAAATAAAATATCTGGGAAGGCTAAAGCCATACTACATTGGTAGTAAAGCTAGGGAAGAATATAGCTTCTTCTCCTCTTGTAAATTTACTCTCAGAATCTAAGTTTATAACATTTAAAGAAGCAGAATTGATTTATCACAAGGAGTGAAAATAAGCAAAGCCGAGCTAGGTTTTGCTAGGCCTTGGCCTGAGCTGTTTATATGTCCTTGAGCTATTTTAGAGGCCTAGACTGACCTACAAACTTGATTACGGACTTACTTTGTAATAATTGAAAACAAAAATAAAAGAAAATAAATATACTAGATTTTATAAATCAAGTCTGACTTGTTTATATAATATAAGCATAATTTTAAAGTCTAATATAATATTCATGAAGATAACTTATTTAAAAAGATATTTTATAATAAGATCTATAAATAGAACATAAATTTATATTTCACTAAACTTGTTCACTTGTTATATAAGTCAACATGCTTAATATTTAAAAGGATAAATAAATGTTTGATGTTAATACATTATAATAAATTTGATATAATAATAATGAAAAATACTATACTCCTCTAGCTCTAAATATAAGCACAAAAATAAGTAAATATTAACTAATTTTAGTTTAATGTTATCATCTTCAAAATACGTCTTCATTTAATTAAGATTGTATTTTCAATGATACTTTTTATCTTTAATATCAAGCTCTAAGAAAGGGTAGTTTAGAAAATTAGGTTATTTTAAATGGGATTAGTGCAATTAAAAGATGTTAACTAACTTTCTTAGTTAGCGTGAAGTAGATTTTTTTTGTTTATATTCAGAATTGGGAGTATTTATTTGTTTATATTTAAATAGACCGGTCTATTAGGTCTAAAAGGACTTTTAAATGGCAGAGTCTAGCCTTTTTAACTAAATAGGTTTTTATAAAAGCATTGACCTGACTTATTTTCTAAAAATAAGTCTAGAATCTAGATTAGCTTAAGCTTGATGTAGGCTAGTTCAAAGACATCTGTTGTGTAGCCGGACCTATTCTCATTCCTAACTGTAAGGAGTTTGTTTGGTAAAATGCTTGCAGGCAGCCAAAGCCCAAAATGTCAAAGCTAACCCTGGTACTGGTGCCGAGTTGAATGATAAAACACAAGAGACTGCAGGAGAATCTGTAGCTGATGAACAAGATGAAGCATCCAAGAATAAACCAAAAGATTCCAAAGGTGTCCAAGCTGGTCATTCATCTCTTGAAGAAAAGAAGGTAGCTATGCCACCTGAAGAGAAGAGATCTAGACCACAAAAGATAATGCAATTTCAAAACATCAAAATTAGTCAGGTTGGTACTAGTTCTACACCATATGAAGTTGTTGCTAATCAAATTTCATCACCTATGTTGAAATAATTCCAATTTCTCATAAATCATATATCTTTTCTTGCAGGTGGAATTGTGTGTTACATATGAAGGGCAAAGATTTGTTGTGAATGATCTTAAATTATTGATGGATCAATTTCAGCGAGTTGAGTTTACCGGGACTTGGCGAAGACTTTTCTCACGAGTTAAGAAGCATATCATATGGGGAGTCCTCAAGTCTGTGACTGGAATGCAGGTGACGAACAACTTACAAGTTCTCCTTTTATTTAATTATTAACGAGAAAAACTAGCAATACACTTTTTTTATCACATTGAATGTATTGGTTGAAATTTATTGTAAATTGCAATTTTTTGTAGGTCCCTTTACTAATTTAATGAATCTCTCTTCAGTTTTGTAGTTTTCAATAAATTTTGATGAATAATAAAGTGTGTTAAAAAAAGTGCGATCTAGAACTCCTCTTGTTAACAAAAATGAATTATCAATACTAGACTTCAATTCCCAACAATTTTACTTGTAGGCTTAGTTATTTTAGGAAAATAATTATTCAGTTTAGCCTATATAGCCTAATGCTGTGTACAATTTCAGTATCAAGGAGCAACGTTTAGTTGTGTTTTCATATCCTTTATACTCAAGTTGGTGACAATCTTTAACTGTTTCTCCTTAATTAATTTAAATGTCTTATTGTCATGGATCATGTAGGGCAAGAAATTTAAAGACAAAGGTCAGAGTCAGCCCCCTAGTACTGCTGCTCTAGAAGTGGACGTTAATCATCTTAGTGACAATGAAGGCCAAGGAGGAAAATCTGATAAGCTTCCACCAGCTTGGCCTACTAAGCGTCCAAATGATGGAGCAGGTGACGGATTTGTAACATCCATTAAAGGACTATTCAATAATCAACGCCGCAAGGCAAAGGCATTTGTGAACAAGACAAAGAAAAGTGAGGGAGAAAATGAAGCTCAAGGGGAATTGACCGAAAATGATTCAGAGCCTTTTGCTAGGCAGCTCACCATCACACAAGCTAAAAAGCTTATAAGGCGCCACACCAAGAAGTTGCAGGCTAAAGGACAGAAAGGTTTGTTCTAGTGTCATGTCCATGTTATTGGTTTTTGACAATTTAATTCACTATGATTTGTGGATAATTTTTAATTATTTGTATAAGGTTAAAAAAAATGCAATATATTATTAACAAGAAAAGAGATAGGACACATTTGAATAAACTTCTTCATTAATACTTCTAAGATAAAAAATAATAAAGAAAAATAAAATAAACTTCTAAACCAAAACTAAAATTAGTTTATGTATATACTAACTTATAGAAGCTTTCTTGTATTAACTTCTTCAAAATATGTTTTTTAACTTATGAATAAGTTAACTATAGCTTATAAAATCTTACTTTATTTTTTCTTCTTATTTTCTTCTCTTAGAAGTATTTATAGAGAAGTTTATTCAAACAAGCTAACTCATAATGCATTTTTAAGCCAAAAGCATATTATTGGGAGGAAAGGGAATTCTTCTCAAAGAAAAACAACCAAAAAAACGCAAGCCAAAATGGGTCAAGAATTCAGTAAAGAATCTAATCTATTTACACGTATTAAAATACCTGCATTCATCTCTGCACCAAAGAACTGCAAATACCACTAGTACCACAAACTCGTAGCTTCTTTATTCTTGTCAAAACCTTTAATCACGTGGTGAGAAACTTTCCCAAGGTGATAGGATACACCAAGAATCTGAAATAGATTACTCGTTAGAAAAGTAATCGTTTACAATACAGGAATGATTAAGCTAATGTTGCTAGCTAGACCTAAGGTAGAGTTGTTTGACATCTGCAGTCTGCAATATTGCATTTGGATTAACCCTATTAAGCACTACTGGCTAAACAATAGAGGGAGCTTTGAACTTTCAAATGCCTTTGTCTAGGAGAATCCCATTGAGAGAAAGCAAGCATCATGGAGAAACCCTTATTTTTATAGATGATTTCTTAACTCATTAATTTATCGACCACTTTATTGAATTCCAAGTGAATAACTTTAGTAACTTTATTTTAGAAATCATATTTTGTATGAATAGAATACACTAATGTGTTTCAGCTCAGGAGTTTTCTTTATTCTGTTTGCCATGTGTTCTATCCACTCACTTAATTACTTTGGTTATATATCCTATCCTAGCCATCTTCTTCTTTTCCGACTTATGTATTTAGTTGAGTAGTTTGAATACACTAAGATTCGGATTTTACTGGCTTAGTGAGTGCCCTTAAAACAAGCGCACATAATCTTTCACAGCTAGCTTCATGTCACTCAGACTTGAAAATTAAATATTCAAAGTTGTTCTTTTATGGTGATATCTGTCTGTACTTTTGAAATAATTCCCATCAAATGACATATTTTGATAACTTACTTGCTAATCCTGCTGATTTATGGCAGCCATTGAATTCTTTTCTTCTTGATTTAATAACTCAAGGACTGAATAGTCAAATCTTTTACAGATTCGCCCTCAAAACAAACGGAAGCACAACCATCATCTCCAAAAGAGGAGATCATTACATTTGACAGTGATTCTTCAAGCGATTCCTCACCCGATGAAGCTTTTCAAGAATAGGTTTTCTAAAAGAATTCTTGCTTTTCAGATGATCATGAAGCACGTTTCATCTGATTCTTGAATGACTAAAGGATGCAAAATCTTGACAGCTGATCTTTCTAAATCAGCAAGTACCTCAGATAAACACCCAACAGAAAGGCAACTTGAGGGTAGGACACCAAAAATGGAAATAGAACTTTTGACTTAAAATTTGGATAATGTATGATTGATGTTCATTTCTATTCAGTGTATTATTCCCTGGCAACCTCGGCCATTGTTGATAAAGTGACTTGCATTCATTTCTTCTCTATCAAACAATAGCTTCTGGAGTTCTGGTAAATTGCAACGTTGGGCTCCTTAATATTTCAGAAAATGAAAGCTTAAAGGTGACATGATTCCGCGTAAACATTTTATTATAATGTCAAAATTATAATTAAAGTAATATTCTCTCTCACATAGATTTTATCACACAAATGCTTCAATATTTTATCCGGATTAGGAAACAAAATAGTAGAATAAATTGTCAGTGATAATAATGTCCAATAATAAAAACACTTATGAAGGCACCAGTAAATAAACCACGAACGAATGCGGTCACGCAAAGGAAATAAGCAACTATGATGGACCAGAATTTAATTTTAGGTTAAAAAGCTAATATGGTTCGTTATATTAATTGTTTGTTTTAATTTAGTCCCATTTTTATTTTTGGTTTTAATTTGGTCCCAAATTAATTAATTGGTTTCAATTTAGTACCAAATTAATTAATTGATTTCAATGTGGGACTTCTGTCCAAATTATTTAAACGGAGTTAACTTTTTGGCCACGTGGATGCCACGTAGATGCATTCATGGATGACACGTGGATGACAGTTTTTTTAAAACACCTGGCCCCAAAATGGCACGTTCTGAAACCGGAACAGGCCGTTCTAGTTGCACTTTTGGTGTGTTAATTTTGCACCTGGAACGGACCATTCCAGATGCAAAAATTAACACACCACCAGTTCAGCAGAACGTCCTGTTCTGAACCCAGAACGGCCCGTTCCAAAACTGAGAATTGAATATTCTTAGCTTGTGTTTTTGATCGCTAAAGTATTATAATTGTTGTAATTTTAGTCTCACAATTTTTAATTGAACAATTTTAATCTCTCAAATATCAATTGTGCAATTTTAGTCTTTCTCATTAAAAATTTAATAATTTTAAAATTTTAATATATATATTATTAGTATTTTAATATTACTGATAAATTAATATCAATAATATTTTTACTATATTTATAAATAAACTAATAATTTGATAAATATAACTTAATATACATTAATATACTTTTACAAAAGTATAAATATATAATATCAGATATATATTTCTAATTAATATACTAATATTCTTGTAAAAGTATATTAATATATAACAAGTTATATTTATCAAATTATTAGTTTATCTATAAATATATTAATAATATTATTGATATAATATCGAAAATTATAATATACGTTAATTTGAATAGATAAATAATTGTTTAATTTTAACACATTATATATATATATATTAAAATTATTAATTTTTAATGGGAGAAACAAAAATCATACTATTATGATATTTGAGGGACTAAAATTGTTCAATTAAAAATTGAAGGACCAAAATCGCGCAATTGCAATTCTTTAAGGACTAAAATTATGCAATTAAAATCTTGGAGATCACAAAACTGCACAATTGTAATACTTGAGGGATAAAAAATGCAATTAAACCAATATTCTTAATTAATTTTATTAAAAAATATAATAATTAATAAGATAAAAGGAATATCACTTTATAATTTTTTGCAACTTATTTAAGATTAAAGGAATAAAATGATAAAAATTAATAAGATAAACATAATAAAATAAAATATAAAAAAATATTAATATATTTATTTTATTAGATATAACAACATGATTAAAATATAATTAATAATATATATTTTATAAAATTATTACTATTTTATATATAAAAAACAATAAACCGGAACGTCCCGTTCTGAAACCGGAACGGCCGTTCTGGTTTCTTTTTTGGTGTCTTAATTTTGCACCTAGAACGGGCGTTCCGGATGCAAAATTAACACACCAAAAGTGTAACCAGAACGGCCCGTTCCGGTTTCAGAAAGGGCCGTTCTGGGTCCAGGTGTTTTAAAAAAATTTCATCCACGTTTGCATCTACGTAGCATCCACATGACCAAAAGTTAACTCCGTTTAAATAATTTCGACGGAAGTCCCACATTGAAACCAATTAATTAATTTGGGACTAAATTAAAACTAATTAATTAATTTAGGAGCAAAATGAAACCAAAAATAAAAATAGAACTAAATTGAAACAAAAAATTAATATAAGAGACCAAAATAGGATTTTAGCATTTAAGCGATTTTCCATCTTTTGGACGAGACCCAAATCTGAATGCCTTTTGTATGCACAAAGATTTTAAGTAATAATAAGAGTCCTTTTTGCCAAATTTTTTACTCATTCCTGACTTAACCATCAGATATTCGAAAACTTTGGTCTAGCTATCTTAATCCCTAGTTCATAATCCATTTTCCTTTTTATAACTTTTTTTTTTCTAGTGGGTTTGATTGAATTATAGATTATCCTATTTATATTAACGTATTCTATTGTTCTTTTTTCTTTCACGAACCTGTTAATTGTTATATGAGTTGCATTAATAATTATGATTGATGAGAGCAAAGCACTGTGTATATTCTTATTTTTATTAGGACAACAAAATGAATCTCTTATGTTAGGTTGAGGGGGGAAAAAGAAAAACATGTTAAAAGACACTATTTTATATGGAAACATTTAAACCAATTACAAATCAATTTGCCATAAACCTTAACAAGCAAATGCAAACATCAATTTTGTCTTCTCAATCCACAAATGATAATCCAGAATTTATCGTAAAGATTACACTGAAAATGTTATATATATATAAGGGTTATAATAACACTGGTATAACTTTTATCAAGTGTTACACCGCTCAATAACTTTATATTAAATGCGACTTTTGTAAATTCAACCGTTAGATTTAAATTTCATAGCACTTAGATTATATATACAAAATTTTATATTAATTCAAGATGATTTGATACTTCATTTTTATAAAACAAAATTGACGTAATATATTCATTTTAAAATATACTAAAATATGAATACTTTGATCATCTTCAAATTATTGTTCAATTTTAACAAAATTCGATATACACATATAAAGTAATATGAACTTTCAATCTAACGGTTGGATTTACAAAATTCATATTTAATATAAAGTTATTGAGTGGTGTAATACTTGGTAAGAGTTATACTAGTGTAATGAAATTTCTAAAGGATTAAATTTGTCTTTGACTCGTTAAAAGTGACTAATCATATTTATACAAAAATTAATTATTGATGAGATCAATAAATACTTCATCCCGATAATTTAGTAATTCGAAAAAAAAAATATCATTCAGCTGTTATTTTTTTTTATCAAATAGACTAACATGTCCTTATTTTTATCACCCTCTTATTTCTTAAACCTTACAAATGTTCTCATAATCTAGAAATGCATTTCAATTAAGACAAGTAGCCTTTGTCTTCAATTAAATACCTTGTAGAAATTTGAAATTATTAAATACTTAGATGATAAATATTAGAAAATAACATTTGAATAACCTAAGATAGCAAAAAAAATAGCTATGATATAATTGTCAGTTTGATTAAAATTAAAAAAAAAATAGAAATAGACAGAAGTTAATTCGGATAAAAAGTAGGGGGAAAATTAAGAAAAATCAATTTACAGGAACAATAAAAATTATTTAAGCCCTATATAAAGAATGTATATAATTTAGACTTAAATGTGTTTTTAATTTTTGAAATATAGTAATTATGTGATTTTAATCCCTCAAATTTTAATTGAGAAATTTTAGTTTCTCAAATAGGGATGTCAAAACAGACTCCAGATTACCACAAATTGATGGGTCAAGTTAGGCATCCTAGCCCGTCCCATCTAACATGTTAGTTTGTCAAGCCAAATGGTGGGTCGAAATAGGCTGGCCTGTCAATCCACCTAAAAAAATTTATTATTTTTATTGTTAATGTTAAGATTAAATAAGTTACATGAGATTTATCACGTGGGTAATATGTGATTTATTGTGAAGCAAATATGTTATGCATTTGATTTATATTATTATATATAATTTGAAGTTTTCTGTGCAACAAATTTGTTTGAATAATTATTATTACATTTACATATCCATTTTAGTTTGTAGCAAATTTAATATTTATTGTGTAACAAATCAAATCAAATCTATTGTAATTTAAAATTTATTTTATTATTTAGGCATACTGATTTATGTGTGTCCATTATATATTAAGAAAGAAATATGTTAAAAGAAGTAACCAAAATAAATATGCAAATTTTTTTTTATTTTTTTGTCTGTCAAGCCACCTTTAGACAAGATAGGTCAAGACATTCAACCCATTGTTACTTGGCAGGTCAATTTGCCCCTATCTTTTTTGGTGGATTGATGACAGGACAGGCCTAAACAGATCAAATAGACTTATTTTATCATCTTTACCCTTAAGTATCATAGTTGTACAATTTTGATCCTCAATTTTTAATTGCGCAATTTTAATCCTTCACATACCACAATTGTGATTTTACTCTCTCATATATTACAATTATACAAATTTTTACCTATTTAAGTTACATATATTAGTAATTTTTAAAATAATAAATTTACATTACTTAATACAAGAATAAAAATTATAATATATGAAATTTAAATAGTTCAAAAATTGTATAATTACAATACTTAAGAAACTAAAATAATAAAATCATACAATTACAATAATTGAGAAACTAAAATTACTTAATTAAAAATTGGGAGAACAAAATGCACAATTGCAATATAAAAAACTAAAATTACTCACTTAGAATCTTAGGAAGTAAAATAACACAATTATAATACTTAAAATGATAAAAATGTAAATCATTCGCTAGAAGAAGAAAAAAGATTGTCGGATATAGAAGTGGATGAAAAAATTTGAACCGGTGGTTAACTAAATTAATTTTTTAAAAAAATGAACCGAAGTATAATAACTTGAACTATTCCTAAAGAAGAGTAAAATAAAATTATGAGTATCAAAAATGGTCCGGTTCGATGGCGTAGCTGATGACCTGATGGCCGAGCTTCTAATAAGTGGCACATAAAAAATACAGACCAATTTGATTAAGTCTAAGAAACCTTTTTTTTTAATATTTTCCAGACTACCCAGTCTATTGTCCAATTCTTTTATATATATTTTTTTTTCTAAAATTTGAATAAAAATAAAATAAACCAATTTAACATGTGATGGACCAACAGACATAATCATTTCAATTGAAAGCACCAAAACAGTAACTAATTTCTAATTTAGTTTGGACGAAATTTTAGTTAAGTAAAATTTTTATAAATTCGGTTCAATTTCTATAAACTCCGTCACCCTATGTAATGCTCCCACGGTTGTTCTTCATGTATCAACCAACGTTATTTTTGAAACTTCTCAAACTAGAAAGAACTATTAATATGGGTGTAATTGTAAACCTAGAGCCCATCCCATCAAGCCCCTTATTTTTAAGTCTCCTTGAACAGTAGTTTGATTTTGGCCGTAGCCCATTTGATACTTACATCTCTAAAGAACCTTGATTATCTACCATGTCAGATTTACAGCATCCGTGCTCTAGTCAACAATGATACATAGATACCTTAACCGAATGAAAAGCCTATTTGACTCCTCATTTCTCTCTATCCCCTTATTTCATTATTTCACTCATTTTCTCTCTAGGTGTCTATTATAACAGTAGATGTCCACAAAACACTTTTCTATATTCATATAGCTTGCATATAGCAGCCATCTGTTGTAAAAATAATTAAGGAATCCAATTGGCTAACTTTTGACTTGCAAGACTCGATTTGTGAGTTGCCAAATGTCACAGTTGTGAGTTGCCAAAGGAATCCTGTATAACAAAAATCTACAGGTAAACTTAAATTCAAGGTATTGGGTCAGACTATCGCCGAGCCATCATTTAAATTTAAGGTTATACATCCGGAGATCAACGATTAATACCACTGATCCAATCATAGGAACAAAGTTCTTGCATTGATGGGAGTATTGTGATATCTGTACATTCTATTGGTCAATCTGAATGAAATTACTATAAACCTACTTATGCCAGAGTCCACGATTCAAGCATTTTCTGAGACTGGAAAACTCAAGGATTAGCTACGAAAGCTGGGATTATCATGCTGAGAAAGCAGCAAGATTGTTATGTGCAGGATCGGCAGCAGTCCGACAGTCTGAGTCATTCCGTTCATCAACCTGGTTATCAGATGGCAAAAAAAAAGGTTAAGAGGCTGCACATATTACCATGCTGATTATTGATAAACGAACGGATACCTGCTCAACTGGTACAAGAGCGAGTTCATGATTTCTCTTAGAAAGGTCTCTCAAAGCACCCTGCAGAATAACGTTATCAAAAGGTGGAACACTCAACAACTCAGCAATCAGCATTAAAAAAGTGCAAATTCACAATTGAGCAAATTTTAATTGCACCTCCCTCTAGCCAAAGATAACACGCCTTGAAGATAACGGGAAAAAAATTAACCCCATAACTTTCCGAAGAAAACAGTTCAAAATAAGAAAAAAACTAAACAATAGACTCCGCAAGGTTTTGGTATTCACAAATAGTGCCAGAAAAGACCACACGCAATACACAGTTGTCTTGCTCTCTTGTGAAACGCCTGATAATGTGTGTCCACAATGCAGATGGGAGGGAAATAGAATCAAGAACCAAAAGGCACAGCTTGAGGTCGTATGCATTTCAAGTCATATTAAGTATGGTTATTGGATCATGTAGCTAAAGGACACATATTAGAAGAACTATAATAGCCAAACAGACATAACTCTCAAACATTTTGTACAGAGAAAACTAAAACATTCCAATATGGACATGAAAGCTGAAATAGATTTTAAAAACATACTCTACTTATACAAAAACAAAAACACAAATTGTGGATTTTCCAAATTTCAATTTGAATGAGGTAAAATAACAGAACTGGCCATGCTTGAGAATATATATATTAGTCATTAGTCATACAAATACATGGTTTTATAATAATGTAAAAATCTAAAAGAAAATGAATCCAAAACTCAATAAACATTTTTTTTCCTAAAAACAAAAGCCATTTGAAGAAAGTACCTACCCTATTTGCCCAAAACAGCCCACATGCATTGCAAAGTGACCTTGGACCAGATGGTCCTCGCCGCATCATCGGGGTGGCTTTTGAACTAATGCCACAATGTGTGCATCTATAGAAACAAGCAATAAAAAAAAATGATAAAATATCTAGTTAGAATAACTTCATACAGGTCTCAAATAACGTGAAATATAAAGCTTTAATAAATAACCCTGAGCTAGAATAGCTGAATAGATGGCGATTAAAAAGGAAAAACTCGAAATTCACAATAAGTTGCAAAGATTTCATAAAGGAACAAATAGTTTGGCTAAAACCTAAAAGAAAATACAGCTAACACAAAACTCACAAGGTTTCTGATTGACTATCATCCTGTCCTGAATCTTGGTCTGTACCCCAACTATTAGCTCCATCTTGTTTCTTAGACGAAGTGAACTGACCCTTATTACGATGCATCCTACATTTATTAGACAAATAAGTAAGAAATATGCATGAATACAAATAAAATAAAACAGATAAAATGAAGAGCAACAAGAAAAAAATGAAATATAGATAACGTAGAAAAATTAATAAAATTATGAAAGATTCCTATTTAGTGCATAAGCTACATTGAGTCCAAGAAATTCACACTAAGACAGTTAATAACTTGATATTTATTAAAACCAAGGTAGTCAAGATCGAGATACTAGTTAGACTTGGAAAAGAGTCGTAGAATCGTAAATCAAGGAATCGTAACAAGAAATGTAAGATTCTATGATATTTATAAAATATTGAAATCCAAATAAATGCTTCTAACGTAATATAAATAAGAGGGAAAAAACATTATAACACATGTAATACTTAATTAAGCTTAAATTCGTAATCATATACTCATAAAGATAATAAAGTCAACAACTAAACTCCATATAGAACTGAAATGACCAACTAAACAGCTTAAAATATTGCATTGCAGAAGCAAAACAACTTTTTCATTTACACCAGCAAAACAACTTTAAACACCTAGTTTAGATCTCTAAGTTTCCAACTAAGTCTCTGATAGATTATTAAAATCTTATGAGATAAATTATGTAGCAATTCATTTTTTGTTCAATTATTTTGTTGTCACTGACTTATTTTACTCTATTAATACATAAATTGTTCAATTATTTTGTTGTCACTGACCTTTTTTACTATATTAAATATTAATAAATAAATTGTAAGATATATTAAATTATAATAAGAAATACGATCTCCAAATGCAGCTGAGGACAGGGGAGAGCTCTGTGGAGGAGTTGGGAATCACAATTGAAGTCAAAGAAGGTCAGGGCAAAAGGTTGAAGTCGAAGAAGTCTACGAAAGTTTTCAGGGAGGCTGGGATGGTGTTGGGTTTAGGTCTATGATTTGTTGGGCTTAAGTTTTTAGAAGCCCAAAACAATAAAAAAACAAAAATAAAAAAAAGGACTAAAAAATTAACGTGAAAAATAACTAGCCACCAAAATCACAAAACACAGTGAAAGCCATTTATTTTTACACTTCAGTACGTGTACGGCAATTTTAGCGATTCCACTCTAGAACGATTCCCAATCATGGACAAACTCACCCATCTATATCAGGTGTGTAGAATCGCACAATTCCGTGAGGCAACTCGCGATTCTGGCAACCTTGGTTAAAACAATGCATGCAACTACATATACCAAGCAAATCACAAGGCACCAGCCTTCACTCTAGCAGATTTAAACTATAAATGCACCATCTAGCCAATGTAATAATGGATACGGCTGCTAATGTATACATCGTATTAAAAATTTCTGTGTTAATTAAAGTTTTGTCTAAAAGAAGAAAGGGAAAACATAATAGACCTAGTGGTAGTTTCTTGCTAATTGTACCATGTCCATTGGTCAATATTTGTTTAAGCCTCACCATATAACGAACATAAGATTTTTAAAAATAAAAAAAAAATCAATCATCCAATTTTCAAATCTCTGCATGGAAAACGATCATTTACAAGCGATACCATGGCATAGCTTTTGAAATCTTCGTAATAAGAATAAAGCATGTTTTAGTTTAAAAAAAAAATAGAAAACAAGTTTAAAAATCTGTTTAGTTTGGTTTTTAACGAATATGTTTATGAAAAAATTCTTTAAAAGGGACAAATCAGACTAGCAGTCATTTTCACCATTTCTGGAAACACTAAATTGAAAATACAGAAGCAACTTCTTAATCAAAATAAAAATAATATGAACCAAGGGAGTTGGTCAGTATTAGTACCCACTACCCATAAGGGTACTCGTACCACACCCAAAGTGAATTGTCAAAAAATGGCTGGTTAGTGGTTTCACCGTGATCATCTAAAAAATCACTAAACAAAAACCATATAATCAGCAGACAACAAATGTCTGACGATTATTATTTAACCTGAACACCAATACCTTTGAAAAGAAATATGGGGTACTAAAGTAATCCTCAATTCCCATCAACACAAACTACACATTCTAAAATTTGAAAATATGAAAATGAAAATCATTTATAGGAAATAAATACAAAATAAAAAAATAAAAAAGTTCACATTTAAAAGAGGAATGATGGGGTTGATTTAGGAATGTATGTAATGAATAAAAAACCTAGGATGCCAAAAGGAGTGAATTACAAGACTAACAAATATGGTCATAGTAGTATACAAATAAAAATGACATGAAGTGAACAAAAAAAATCATATTGTTACATTTAACAACATTAAAAGGCATATTCTGAGATTAAAGTTAATTAGACATCAACTTTCATTTATATGAAAACATAGCTAAACTAGATTAGACATTAAATTCAGATCCAGTTCATTCACAATCTAAAAGGACGAGCTTCTGTATAGGGCAGGTCAGAGATTGATCTACAATGACCAAGTTAAATTTAACCCCACATATGCTGCCAGAGAGTGAATTGGGGAACAAGACCCGCTCACTATAAAATCTATATTTTATGCTAGTTCAGACTTCAAAATGAAAAAGCAGTTTAAAGTTTAAAAGCGCATATCCATTATAGCCTTACCTTCACCAATTCCCAATGGTTTGAGCACAAGACTACGGAAAAAGAAGCTCAAATCCAACACAATTGTATGTAAAAGAAGTCTAAAATCCGGCATACTAACATATCTATTGTTTAGCATGCTGCTTAATTATATTATATCTACTACTTATCAATAAATTGGTATAAAGAAACGACATAGCAAACTCATTGCCAATCATCATTCACAAGACGGACTTGCCACAGGAGCAGAATCAGCTTTTAAGCTCAGACAGTAAACAACTCTGTTTGTGTTCAACAAATTCAATATACTCGCAAGTTTCTATTACAAACCACAGTATGCTAATTATCAAACCTGAGCGCAACTTCTTGCCGTACACTATATCTCACTTTTTTATCAAAGCAGCGCTCTTTCCTCTTCTGCCTGAACCTATCTAATGAGGCAGCTCGCTGTGGTAGACTACATCTTGCTGGATATTCCGTTGAACCCTGCAGCAGCAACCAAAGAATTAGAAAATACCACTCAGCACAGAGCACTTGACAATTAACAAGTTCTACCACAAATAATGCTACCTGCAACCACTTAACTCACATAACCCCCGCATCACTTTACAGTGTATTTGTTTTACAATTAGAATCTTTATAAAGGTCCATTTATATAAAAGCAACAACTACTTACTTCCTATTTATATGCTTTGGAAAGTGGGAACTTCCATTTGCGTCATGCCAAACGGTTTCCCAAAACATACACTTTACCGTTGACTTAATAGCTTTACCATACTTATGACCCGATAACAATACATATATACATGTACCACCAGACATTAACAAAGTTTGTCAACCAATGCGAGCAAAGTGATGAACATAGCTTTGATTTGGTCACTATTTAGTATTTACTAAGTGACTTCAAATAATGAATATACAAATTACAAACTCTCACTTTATTAATGCCTGGTGAGATAAAGTACCCTGTATCAGATGATACTAATAAATAAAACGGTAAAGCGATGCAATTGCAAATGTGTATAACATATTATAATCTTCTGCTTTCACAAAATACCCTCTGATTCTGTTGATTAACCGCATCCACACATGGCGAACCACTAGATGATAGCTCACATCCACCCAAAAGTAACAACACCGCTTGAACCTGTCACGTGAAGAAAAATAAAGATTAAACTTTCCAAAATAAATAAACAAATAAACTCACGCTCTGTTCATTCATTTAACGAACCACCAGAAGCTTGAAGCAAGGTCGAAAACAAAAAGGAAAAAAAATACACAATCGCAACGCTGGATCAACGAAAAATAAGAGAGAATTGAGAGAATTGAGCCATAAAATCAGGAAAACTAAAAAAGGGGGCAAAACGGTACCTTGTCAGGCGTAACGGCATCAAAAACGTATAAACTCACGCTCTGTTCATTCATTTAACGAACCACCAGAAGCTTGAAGCAAGGTCGAAAACAAAAAGGAAAAAAAATACACAATCGCAACGCTGGATCAACGAAAAATAAGAGAGAATTGAGAGAATTGAGCCATAAAATCAGGAAAACTAAAAAAGGGGGCAAAACGGTACCTTGTCAGGCGTAACGGCATCAAAAACGTAAACTTGGCCACGAAACGACAGCGTAAGCTGGCTGGACTCTTCGGGGCCTCCACCGCCGGAGACATAGACCGCATCGGATGTAACATCTTCGACGACGACGCCGGCGGCGGCGGCACCGTCTTCGAGCGCATTCGTTTCGTACTGAATGTGGTGGTGGTGGGCGTCGACGGCGGCCTCGGCGCCGGAGCCGTCGTCGCTTTCGATCTGCGGGGGCATGTTCAAGGGCTGGGAGTGTCCGTACATTGGTGCTGGGTCCATGGGGAAGCGCACCGCATTAGAGGGGTAATTGGGGGGAAGTTGGAAACCCTAACCCTAGAAGGAGCTTGAATTTGATTGGAATTTGGAGTGATAAGTGTGTGAGGTGAGGGAGAAAGGGAGAAAGGAGGGAAGTGAGGGTGAATTGTTGTGGAGAAGGACAACAGAGGAATTGATTGAGGAAAAGGGAGGTGAGAAAAGTGACCATGTTGATGGTGATATTTACGAGGCTTGCCCACAGCAAGGCCCAATAGACATGCCACATGCCCCAAGGGATTTCATGTTTAATAACAACCTTTAATGTGCCCATCTTTGACCAAAAAGCAATATTCTATATTCATATTTTTTTCCTGATTTCTTCGTCTAATTTTTTTAATTATATCATTTTAGACTAATTTAAAGGGGCATCTTAACTTGTCTATCATGTACCATAGCCGATTTAAAGGTGCATCTTAACTTATCTATCATGCACATAGTCGATAGTCTTCATAGGTTAATCTGATTTTCATTTTATTTTAATTCATCTTTTATGCAATCATATTATTATCTTTTTCTCTTTAGAGAGATTCTTAATTTCTTACCATAAACTACTATACTTTTAAAATTTAAACTAACTCTCCCAACTCATCATGTTCTCTCTCTCAAACAACATATTTTTATAGTAATTTATTATCTTCTTTCAAAAACTTTTTGATGCTTGAATTTATGTTTCTTGATGGTAATAATCTTGCCTTTGTCCTTGAAGGTTGTTTTTAAGGGCTCAATAGTTTGCAAACTCTCAGTCAAAATATATGGCTTAACAATCATAAAGATGAATATGAATTTTTTATTTTCATCAAGATGATTTCTTTAATAGTGATTTTTAGGCCTCATTGAGATACTTTCTTCGATAAATACTTTTTCAAGTATGACTTAACAAGAATCAATTCACAAGTTTCATTCTCAATATGTCAATTTGTACCACTTTATTTGACCTAGACAAACATTTAACCCCACTCTGAGATGATAGGGGCATAAAAAAACTAGGTAGAAAGATAAAAAATGCAAAACATCATCACTTAAAAATCACCTCCAACAATGGTGTATGGTGAGGGTTTGTTGGGGAGGGAGAGACACAATGATTTGCTAGAGAAAAGGAAAATCAATGTTAGTATGATACAAAGGGTGCACAATAGTCACATGAGGATCAAATTAGTATAAGAATTCTTAACTATGATGTATGGTGGACTACTTATGATGGTGGTCCACCTAAGAATTCATCATAATTTATATTGTAAGTCTTAATGCATGTTGTTATAAACTACGTATTTTTGATAAATTTTTCTACAACTACTTCTAAAAAATATGAAATTAATTTTTTTCTAAACTAAAATTATTGACAAATAATTTTTTTTAAATATATAATAAAATGTTTAATCTCTAGGTGAGTATATATAAAAAAAATATTTGTTAAAAAATCATTTAAATATATCAATAATTCAAAAGATTAGTCATGCATTGACTACAAACAATATAATGCATTAAATTTATGGAACAAAATAACAAACCAAATTTAAAAGATTAGGAAATTTTTTAAGTGAAATTGAACATTGTTCAAGTTGTGAAGGAAAACTATATATAAAATAAAGCTCTCTATCAAAGCATTTAACACAATTGTGTATCTAAAACTTGAACTCGATATCACTGGTTAGGATAAAAAAACCATGCACTAGTTGTTCTATGCACTCAATTGTATATTCAAATTATATATATATATATATATATATATATATATATATGTATGTATATATGTATGTATATATGTATTGTCACTCTAAGGTCTTGTTTAGGTAAATTTATTTATAAGACATAAAAAAATAAGAAAAAAAAATGAAATTAGTTTATTTATAAGTAGAAATTAACTTATACGCAAACTAATTTATAAAAATTCTATCCTTTTAACTTCTCTAAGATTTTATTTTTAAAAGTTATTTTTAACTTATGAAGGAGCTTCTTTCAATTTTTCTTTTTATTTTTCTCTTTTAAAAGTGTTTTTAGAAAAGTTTATCCATTTTAAGTAAATTCATCGAACTTAACTTGGATTAATAGAAAGAAGAAAAAAATTGATAGATCACATATATGTTTTACTAAAAGCAATAAAGTTGAATTTGTTTATCTCATAATCATTGATTAAGTTGGAATAAATTTATGTTAGTTGACTTATGAGTTAAGTGATTTAATAGATAATAAGAATGGGTGTGAGATATTGTAAATCTTTTGATATCAAATTCGATTCTTTTATATCTATCTATATATATATATATATATATATGATACCAGATGTCCCGGGGAGTGAATCTAGGGAAAACGAGAAA